AAACTTGCACTGTGTGTGCGTGTGTTGAGCTCTACATAGCAGGAGTTGGGAGCCCTGTTGAAGTACGAATGTTCGACTTTTGGGGCTGGCCTGGGGCGCTTATACTTATAATAAAATACCAAATACTTGTCGTTGTCGCACCTTTTTGGCATCTTTTGATATTTACATATACATATGTATGTATTTTATATGAATGTAGCATATGCAAACATACATACATACATACATATATTTATATATAATACACTATGTACATATACGAATGTATTCGAGTATATACAAATGCATATGTGTGTGTGCTTGTGCGGCATTAATGCTGTGGGTTTTCTTCTCTTTTATTCTATTATTTGCTCCCAGTGGCTGCCGATGGCGATTCTTTCTGTTATATGTATGTGTTTGTGTATCTTATTCAATTTCAGTTGGCGCCACCAATCGGAAATCGTTCTCTTCTCATTGCCGTGTTTTTTGAGAACATTTCATTTCTTTTTTTGTTCTGTTCTTTTCTCTCATTGTACATATGTATGTTTGTCTGTCGCTGAGTATGTGTTGATACATAGACGTATTTTTATGTATTTGCAGCTTACATACAGACATAGTTATAAGAACTCGTATGTATATACATATGTATATGTATTTTTATGGCAAGTATTATAATTCGTTACTTTACTGCAGACTAAAATATGTATTTAAAACGATTATAGAAATTCCTTTGTATTAAATTTATGCTTTATATGATAATACATTAAAATAAAAGAGAAAGATACAAATGGAAAAATCATAATTTATCAAATTTTAATACTTATTATATGGACAATATGTTGAAGACATTATTGGAACATTTATATATATTTATTTTCTAAGCATACTTTATAATGGATGCATTTCTACTGGTTTTTAAGATAATATTGAATTGTAATCTATTTCTTCTTTTTTAATTCTTTCTTTAATGAAAATCATTTTTTACAAATTTCAATTTGGCTCTCAAATTACTGCATAGATCATTGAATTATTATATATGGACCAGAGATCCAGAGAGAATAGATCATAGCTTTAATTGATATCTTTATATCATATATCAAAAATTATAGAAATATAGCATTAGATCATAGCATGAGACGTCATTATTTAAAATTCTATTTTATTTCAGATATTTTAAAATCATTTCCAATCGAATTTTTCATTATACATTTGAAATTTATTTTTTTGCTATTTGAATTCGGAGGAAGCTTAAAATTATTTAAAATATTTGCCTTAAATTATTTTCTACTTGGGTTTGGCGTTTTTTTGCCAATATTCTGATTACCACTATTTAAAATACACATTTTGATGTTTTTAAATACTTCAAAAATGCATGAATAAAAACTTGTACAAATATTAACAAAAATACGCGTGGAAGTGCTACCTTTTCAGATATATAAATATGTATTTTCATATAGAAATATATAAACATATATATAAATGTTTATGGATCTATATAACAGTTGAAAGTTATATATTGTAGTTATATATTAACGGCTCTTAATTACAAATAAGGGGCTTAAAGGCAAAAGCCGAGGAAATTTCAGAAATATAAGAAAAATATAAAAGTTGGCACACTGAATTATAGATACCCTGTACTTAAATACGATTCAAATCGAGGCTTGCATGGTAATAACATTTTAGTAGCCTTTTAAAAGATTTGTCAGGCACTAAAAGGTTAACAGCGGTTAACGAAAACATAACCGACATAAGTAAGTTAATAATGGAAGAAGAAATAAGTTTATATTTGTGCTGATGAGTATCGAATTCCCTGTAAGCTTTATATATAAATAGGCATGCTTGCTTGAGAAGCAAGTAAGTAAATCTATATATTTATTCATTAAATCAAATCTTAGTATTTTCATTCACTTCATATGCATACAATTTGATGTATATATATATATATATTTATATATTTATATATTTATATATATATTTATATATTATCAATAAGCAATATCGGATGCCATCACAATTATGTGTTTTTGGCCAAGTACGTCAGAATTCCAGACACAGATGTAAGTATCAAGCAAATAAGTTCTACAGATGATATTTGATTGTTTTCGACTTTTAAATACGCGCCAATAGCATGTATCGAAAAGCTGGTTGCTATAAGACACTTTCAAATGTAGCGGCCAATATGGTAACCCCACTGTTTTTATGAAAATCACGAATGCAATGAATATGCTTCTACAAACTTACTGTACTATATATAATTAATATAATATAGTAATGTGTAATTAGCTAAGCCTAATATCGAAAATAAAACATAATTATACATATTTATATTTAGTAATATTATAATTAGCTGAGTTAGAGTTTTTTCCTACTCCCAAGCGAAAAACTTGGTAATTAAAGCATGGTAATTAAAGTGAAGATAAATTAAAAATATAAAACAAAATATATTTGAACATTTTCTACATATCTTTTACTAATACTGGTTAAATACTAAATATATCGATAAGCAAAGCTACTGCTTGACAGTTTTCGATATTTGGTAATTTAGCAAATATATTTTAAGTGTTTAGTTTTAAAATAAGAATTCGTTTTATTGTTAAAACTCATTAGAATAGTATATTTGCTACATATTTATAAATATTTTATTCTTAACGCCGATATTTGGCCATCGTCACTATCATCACTGAAGTCGCAAGTGCCGATACCAATATCGATAGCTACACTCATTCTTTCATAAGCACGCTGATGCTGTCTGTCGGGTCAAAATTTTAGGACTAATTTAATAAATTTGATAACATGCTACAATAGTATTGTTTTTTTGCATGTGCAATAGACAAAATACATCAGCATTATTAAATATTTCCGTATTGGTGGCTAAAATACGGAATCGACTAAAAAAGGAGGGGTAATCAACAAAACCTATTTCTCGAAAACAGATTTTTGTTGCTGGTGCAAAACAAAGAAGAGAAAAAGTGCACAAACATTTTGCTGCCCCATAATTGTTGTTGCGGATGGACGTGATAGAAATCAGTGATAGCGAACGCGAGGAAAACTCTTCTGACATGGACGTGGAGCTGAACGAAGTGAATGAAATCGAGCAAATTGTGCCCAAAGACGCGGCAACGTAAGTACAAATAAACCTACGCACACATAAGCACACACACAAACATATTTGGCCCTGCCCCATGGCAATGTCAGTCAAGTTGACAACAAAACACAATCTAACATAGCTAAAAGGAGGTTCGGAATTATTCGTTGCTAATTGTGCTACATTTCTGAACTCGTTGTACTTTTATATAATCGATCAATGTCTTTGAATACTTGCGTGCCTAGTCTGTTTTCACTATGCCTATTGTTGGTGTTTGTATAAAAAGCAATTGCTAACATCAATAATTAATGCAATTGCTTAGTCTCTTACACCCGATTTGCTTGGTGCCTTGCGTGGTATTTGTTCAGCGTAGGCACCAAAATGCATAAGCAGTTCGCTCTCCTCACTCCTCACTCCTCTTCTTATTTTTCTTGTCTCTCCGCCATTAATACTGTCCATTTTTTCGTGAAGAAACACGTTTTTGCCCAAGCTTGACTGTGCTGGTGGCTTCTGTGTGTTGAGCTTACACATGCATGCATGACTCTAATTGTATATTCAGCTGTGTGCTTGTGTGTGTTTATACATACTTCTAAATGTTCTTAGTTGTGGATCGTAATCTATCGTACACCTACGTGCATATGCACTCAACAGTTTTTTTTGCACTGAAATAAATGTTTTAAAATTGCTATTAGAACTGTTTTGTTTAAATTGTATACTTACTTGAATAATTTCAACTCTTAATGAAAATAAAAAAAAAAACTTGTTTTTAAAGAAATGTATCCGTAAATTAACAAATAATTATTTTGTTTTTAACAAAGCTTTTTGATTTTGTTATCTCATTCATTCAACAACAAACAAACTTTCTAGTCAAGATAATATTTGAATGATGAATCACAGAAAGAATAGAGGGAGAGTAGCTGTAGTATTTGGCTGGTAAAGCCCATTTTGAGTGTGCTCTGAGAAAAAGTTTTACCACATTAATTGACTTACTAATATCTAAATTTAGAATCACAACTCCAAAAGAGTTCTCATTGATTCAAAAGGCAATTAACAAGCTTATTTATTTTCTTTAGATTATAATTTAAATAATATTAGTGTTGAGAGAGCTTAGAACATAGTAAAAATTGTTTCATTTGTAATTATGTAACCCTATGCTATGCTATAGTTAACTAATTGGTTAGATCATATATTCATTTCATTTTTTCATTATAATTATAATGTGTTAATGTCCTAATATTTGGATTTTAAAAGCAGCGACACTTAATTACATTTATAGTTAAATTAGATACATTTTGTTTGAGATACATAGATATTTCGAGAAATATATGCTTAGATTCTTCGTTTATTTTTATTGCAATTAAATAATATGAGTAAAAATATATACATATATACACATTATCTCTATTAAATGATCTGTGTAAGATTGAAATTTCTTTTTTTAGAGTTCTAAAAAAGACAAAGAGCAAAGGGAAGGTTCAAAGTCTCTTTGGCTAAAAGTTGCAGACCATTTCATAATGTTGCCAATTGTAAATTCGTAGCAAAAGGAAAGAGTTCATTTATTTTCGCACCTTTAAAAAACGTATTTTAATTTTTTAACGAAATACAAACAGCATAAAAATATAGATGTGACAAATTAGTTTTTTTTATTGAATATATTAGATAAATCTTAAGACAGTCAGTCCTATTTACTCATACAATATATTTATATATAGTGTTGTATCTATATATTATGATATAGTCGAGAAATTGAAATCAAACAATCTTTTATGTATTTTGTATCTCTAGGAGAGTATTCTATAGTCATCATCTCTCAAGCAATTCTCTCTTTTCGCATTCTTAAGTTCATTCTCATTCTATCTCTCTTCTTTCGCCATTCGCCTCTCAAATCTGCTCGGCTTACCTAGCTGCATTTGTCTGCAATCGCAGTGTGCTTCTGTCAGCGCTGTAAATCTCTTCGCTTGTCGGATCGCCATTCAGTTCTTTGGCATGGCGTAATTATCATCGTCTTTGGATCCACTTGTTTTACTCATATCTATTTCTCTGATAAGTTGTTGAGCGCTTGCTGTCTGTCACGTTAGGCTTTGAAATTCTTGTCTCCGTACTAAAAGCAAAATTTTAGTTTTTATTACTTATACCAAAAACCCAATAGTTATTCTTGCGTGAAAGTGTGTCAAACAGCTGTGCAAAACAAAGTGCAGATGACAAAAAATATATAAATATAAATAAAAATAAAATAAATGAAAACAGAAGACGACAGAAAACGGCCGAAAACATTTTTGGCTTTCGAATAGCAGCTGCAAAAAACATATAAAAAAGAAGAAAAGAAAGAGCAACGAATTCGCAAGATTGCAGAAAAGTAAAAAATGTTATAGTAAGTTATTTCATTTAGATTTTATTTTTATATTTTTTTTAGCATGGGTCACTTAAGTGCTCTGCATGAAAATAGAAATCTTTTAAAGCTCATGAAGTTACTTAAGGCAAGTCAGAGCTAAACGAATAAGTTCTTAATTAGTTACTCTCATACCTTATAGGCCATATTATCTCATCATCGATTTATGCAGATTTAGGTCACAGACTTATGTACAGCAGCTGCAGTCAAAACTATTTATTTGAGGTGTGTCGCTTAGCAGAGCCCGCATTCCAAATGGCTTTATATATATAATTAGGCTTTACGTTTCAAAATTATATTGATAACTTGCTTATATACAAATTTATTAAATTTACACTAATAAACAAGATTTTAAGTGTTTGTTAAGTTGCTTTATATAATATATATGCAATCATCAATCAAATGTCTGTTTCGCATTTAATCGCTGTCTATACTTATTTTACTTTTTCATACCAGGTGATTCTAAGCCGTTTAATTAGCTATTAAAATCATTTGGGAATTGCTAGATTTGTACTTTGGTTTAAGCAAATGCAAAGACGTCAGCAAAACTGATGACGCGCGTCTTAAGGGCAATTCCTGGAATTCTGTCATGTACTGCATTCTATATAGCATTAAACTCAGTATAAAGCCCTGGGGGGCGCCGCTGCGGCCGCTACTGCTGCTGATTATGCAGCTCTGCATATTTGGAAGGCATGTCATAGTAACTGGCAGTCCTTGGAACTTAAACATTGCTAGAAGAGAATCGTTCACTACGACAGGGCATCTGTTGCCCTGAATATACGCCTTGCCCCCTTGAACTTCAGATTGCATGTTGATCTTTTAGCTGATGCTTATAGAGCTCTCAGCGGTGACAGTGAAAGTCAAAGCAGAATTGTGGACATCTTGAACGGCGTCTTCTCTAAGACACTGGGCATGTAGCATATATATGTAGCAAAAATAGAGAGAGAGAGAGAGAATGCTCTCTCTGTGGGTCATGCTTATGCTTCCAGCGAGCAATACAACACTCTCCTTTACGTCTCTTCTTACGTCTCTTCTTACGTCTCTTCTTACGTCTCTTCTTACTTCTCTTCTTACGTCTCTTCTTACGTCTCTTCTTACGTCTCTTCTTGCTCTCCTCTTGCTTTCCTCTTGCTTTCCTCTTGCTCTCCTCTTGCTCTCTTCTTGCTCTCCCGTTGTAGAAGAACTAAAATCTTTTCCTAACCTATGTACAATATCTTCAGCTATGCGCTTAGACCCGCAGATTATTTCTTCAATCAAGTCTGTATTAAGTTTTTCTACCCCGTTTTATTAGCAAGCCACGGCCCTGGAATCTAAACCAGGATATAGTGTTTGCTTTCAGTAACATTTTCTTCTTTTTGTTGTTGGTTAATAGGAATAGAAAAATTGAAAACAATTCAGTTTCGTGTTAGCTCGTTTGTCCACTCAATTATTCCGTGCAAATATAGACCAGCAAAGTCTGCTCCTGCCCTATGCATGCAATATTCAAATCTATTTTAAATGAATACAATAGAGCTGCCCTCTAAAGCAAATAGCTACGTGAATTTCGACAGGGCAAGAGCTGAATTTCTTTTGCTATTGATAACATTCACATGGCAGGAATTGTGCTGCTTTATTTGTTCAAGTTTCTTTAAATTAAAGCGCACATCGAGAGCACATTGACCCCTTGTTTTTGTATGTATAAAAAACATTAACTGACAATCGATTTACTCGCCTGATATTTGCAGTATAGCTGAAGAGAAAAAGAAACTGGGCAACGACCAATACAAGGCACAGAATTACCAAAATGCGCTCAAGTTGTACTCGGATGCCATTTCGCTATGTCCAAACTCGGCTGCCTACTATGGCAATCGTGCCGCCTGCTATATGATGCTGCTCAACTATAATAGCGCCCTGACCGATGCCCGGCATGCGATTCGTCTCGATCCCAATTTCGAGAAGGCCTATGTGCGTGTGGCCAAGTGCTGCTTGGCGCTGGGCGACATCATTGGCACCGAGCAGGCGGTCAAGACGGTCGTTGAGCTGGAGCCGCAGAGCACGGCTCTTAGCGGCGAACAGCAGGCCGTACAGAAGCTGCGTCAATTGGAAAGCACCATACAGAGCAACTACGATACACAGGCCTATCGGAATGTGGTCTTCTACTTGGACAGTGCTCTGAAGCTAGCGCCCGCCTGCCTACGGTGAGTACTTGCAATGCATTGATCTGTTTGAAGTTAATTAACGCATTTGCTGTCGACAGATATCGCTTGCTGAAGGCCGAGTGCTTGGCATATTTGGGCCGTTGCGATGAAGCTTTGGATATCGCCGTAGGCGTCATGAAACTGGACAGCACTTCCGCCGATGCCATTTATGTGCGTGGCCTGTGCCTCTACTACACGGACAATCTGGAAAAGGGCATACTGCACTTCGAGCGCGCACTGCAACTAGACCCCGATCATCAGAAGTCCAAGCGAATGCGCAGCAAATGCAAACAGCTTAAGGATATGAAGGAGAATGGCAATATACTGTTCAAGTCGGGACGCTATCGCGAGGCGCATGTCGTCTATACCGACGCACTGAAGATTGACGAGCACAATAAGGATATTAACTCCAAGATACTTTACAATCGTGCGCTTGTCAACACCCGCATCGGCGCCTTGCGGGAAGCTGTTCTTGACTGTAATCGAGTGCTGGAGCTGAACGCGCAGTATTTGAAAGCACTATTGCTGCGCGCCCGCTGCCACAATGATCTCGAAAAGTTTGAGGAAGCGGTTGCCGACTATGAGACGGCTCTACAGTTGGAAAAGACGCCGGAGATCAAGCGATTGCTGCGAGATGCGAAGTTCGCATTGAAGAAGTCCAAGCGCAAGGACTATTACAAGATACTGGGTGTAGCGCGCAACGCGACTGAGGATGAGATTAAGAAGGCGTATCGCAAGAAGGCCTTGGTCCATCACCCGGACAGGCATTCGGGCAGCAGTGCAGAGGAGCGAAAGGACGAGGAGCTCAAGTTCAAGGAGATTGGAGAAGCTTACGCGATTCTCTCTGATGCTCGAAAGAAAAATCGTTACGACAGTGGACACGACATCGAGGAGCAAGAACAAGGTTAGAGATATCAAATATATTTGCCAATTAGACAAAAATCATTAATGAAAATCTTCGATTTTGCAGCTGACTTCGATCCAAATCAAATGTTTCGTTCGTTCTTCCAATTTAGTGGTGGTCGAAATGCATCCTTCAATTTTGAGTATTGAGTCCCCGGAGCAGAGGCAGACACAGTCTAGCCGGCCACATCGCCACGTAATTACGACAATTCATGCACAAATCGGAGTCTGCATTTTACACACTTACTTTAATTTGTCCCAATACAAAACACACACAAAAACCCGACATCAGCCAGTTACAATATTCCTGGGGTTTTTCTTTATGTTAAGCGTTCGGCTTTCCATTTTGGCATGCAAAACATAATTAAAAATATAAATAAATTGTAAAATACTAAAACTTGGTCATGATTTTCAGTCAAGGGTATTTGAGTAAGCAGTCTTATAACAATTAAGTGATAATTAATTACCTAAGTATCTGCCTTTTATGTAACCAATTAAATTTGTTTTAAGCAGCCTCATAATTAAGTGTTTTATTATTTAATTGTTCCGAGCCAGTTCCATACGCCCGCTGACTAAACAACTATATAGTTGTATATAGCTTAATCTGAAAAACATGGTGGCTAACTCCGGCAACGCTCAATATTAAGTTAACTAAGTTTATTTTTTGAATACTAACTGAAGCCTTTCTGTTTAAGCCTTCTTCAAAGGCTAGCAAATATTTGAAGCTGTGAACAGCTGAACTGAAAGCGTTTCTAATTTTGATAATTCAGTTATCGCATTAACCAATTCATTATTAAGTCAAGAGCAAATGGTCTTTTTCTGACACAAGTCTTACTTTATATTATTATTTAAAAACATGTCACTTAAAACTCAAAATAAATTAGAAAATGTTTTGCCTAATAATAAAACTAAAACTTCAACATTTTCAAGTTTTGTAGTCTTAAAAATATGAGACTTAATTTTTGTTTTAATAGATTTGCTTTCTCTGCTAAATATGTTTTAGTTAAGACCAGAAAAGTTGATCTGCTGAGATAAAATATTCTTAAAATCTATACTCTAAAGAGAATATTATGTTGGAATTATATTTTGATATCCAAACTAACTAAACTCAAATTAACTGAGCCAGCAGAATTCACAAAATTGAAGTCGTCTTGAATCTGACTATAGAAGTTTTATATATATATATATATGTGGGTAAAGGCCATTTACCTATTAGAAATGACAAAGGCCTTGTTCTGCCGACAAATTCCATTCCATAAAAATATAATAAATAAATAAAATCACGTCTTAATGCACTAACTTTCAAGGAGTTCAGTTTAGAAATTGTTTTAATATTTTTGGACAGCTTTGTATTTATTTATTTGTTCTCACGAAAAAAACAGTCTTAAAATTTATAATTCAAAGCTCAATGTCTCTCAAACTGCCGTGAATTTCAAACTGTAACGATTGATTTCCTCGAAAATGAAATTTTATCAAATGCTGAAAGAAATATTTGAACTTTACACATTTTTAGACCTTTTTATATAAAACATAAATGACTAAAAATTTGTTTTTATAAATAAATTTAATGTTTTTCATTTCAGTTTTTGTTTTTTCTTCTTCTTCTCTTTGTATATATACTAAGACTACTTAAACATTAAGCAAACATCATTACGCAAAATAATGTACAATAATATTACAATATTTATTTATAATAGTGTATTTTGTGTTTTGTTTTTGTTTTTCTTGTTTTTGTTTTTTTGTTGGTTTTGTTTATTAACAACTAGTGACGACCTGTATAGCATTAGTTATACATTTTATATATATATATGTATGCATATATATATATAGTTTTACACACTCCACTCGCCGACAGTTTGTTAGTTAGCTTAACTTAAATGTTATGTTGGTTTGTTGGTTGGTTTCAGTTGCTGTATTGTTGGTGTGTGTTGGTGTTTGTAAGTTAACGACCAGACTTAAATGACTACAAAAAACATTTCTCCTGCTCTTCTACTAAATGTTGTTGTTGTTGTTGTTAAAATAAGGTACATTGATATATATTTATATATAGATATATGTATAACACTACTAACTATAAAAACATATAGATCTGTACACGTTGGTATTTCATTTAGCTCTATATACAAGTGATTCTTCAGACGTGCTAACGGTACTTGCTATCGAATCGGCTCGATTCCCTCCGCACTCTGTCTGACCAGCAACTGGTCTTTTGTCTTTCGTAATTTTACGCCCAACGCGGGCTGCGCTCGCCTTGGCTTGTTTAGCTCCCCGGAGCCCAGGCGAACCTGGTTGGCTTGTTGGCCCAACATGGCAAATGCTTGATTCCCCTCACTTCGTTCAGAGAAGATATTGCTGTGTAGCTGCTCTACGTCTATAGTGTATATGCTACATATAGTTATGTATTTTGTTTAATAAGTAATACTGAGATTCTGTCGTTTAGTTGTGTGTTGCTATTGTGAGTTTGAATATATTTATATAGATTGGATAATCAGTTGGAAAGTGTCCTATAGTTTGCTATTTATATCCATGCTGACTGTCGACCTATATAGCTTTCGTATTCCTAAGTAACGCTGCCCCGCCCCCTCCCCCAGGTGTGCTTTGTACAGATGAGCCCCAGGACTCGCCTCAACTAAAAGTAAATTGTACTGTTTGTTTTTTCTTTCTTTGCTGCTTGCTCGTTTTCTTGGTTATTTCACAGTGAAATTTGGTTAGGTCTATTTGCCATGTTCCAAGCCATCTCCAAGCCCGTTGCCAAGCCGTTCTCTGTCGTAATGCCCATGCCCCTCACTAAGCCTATGCCGCCCACGCGCGTCCACTCGCTCTGCAGGTGTCGCTGTCACTTGGGCTGGATGCACGCGGTGCGCTCCAGCTCATTGAACTGGCCAAAGAAGAGCACCTCGCTGATCAGCTTCTCGGCAATGATGCGTTGCGTCCGGTCCATTGTGCGCAGCTTCATCGACACATTGGAGCCCACGAAGTCGCAATCGTCGCGGCTGAGACTCTCCGAGTATAGTGCAGCGGCCGCTGCCGCCGTCGAGCTGGCATCGTGCGCCGAGACGCTGCTCTTGATGTGGCCGGGACTAGCTGCCGACTCGGTGGCCTCATCGTTGTCATCCCCATCCGACATGCTCGCCCGCGAACTGAGCAGCGAGTTCATCAGCATGTGGCCGGCACTGGAGCCGGCCGTCAGCTTGCGCATGTTTAGCGGCATGGAGGCAGCAGCGGCAGCTGCGGCCAGTTGGGCGCTGCTGCTGCGCGGCGGCAGCACAAAGTTGCCGAAGTTGGCTTGAGCTTTGGCCTGGGCAACGCGCAGATCCTGCGCCATGTCCAGGTGCAGGCGACTCTCCTCGCCGGACGAGCTATAGGAACGATGTGAGTCAGGCGGTGGCGGAGCTGCTGAGACGGACGGCGGATGAAAGTAGTCAACGAGCTCCTGCTTAATATCCAGTTCATCCTGATGCTGGCGCAGCGTATGATGCTGCAGCGTGTGATGCCCGTGATGCAGCTGCTCGTGCGCATGCCGAGGCGTTGCAGCGCGTGCCGACCCCGGACTCGACTTCAGCAAGTGATTCTTATGCGCCTCGTGTATGTTGGTGTTGGTGTTGGGTATTGGACTAGAACCGGCCTCACTCAGGGCGGACGCAATTGGTGCCGCATCGGCGACCGGATGCTCGGCAGCATCCAGGGCATTGCCGATGCCGCCATCCCTGCTGCCGCTGCCGCTGCCACCGCCCATTGTGGAGGATAGCGGCGGGGAGCGTCGCTCCACTTTGGCCGCCAGCTGCCCAAGCGCTGACGCAGTCGCCTCATCCCTCATGGCGTTATCCTCGTTGTCGGACGTATCGATGGTCTTATGGGGACTTGGCTGGAACTCGCTGCTGCTGCTGCCACCGCCCCCGCCACCGCCACCACCACCTCCGCCGACCGCATAGGGCGCGCCACTTGCACCGCCCCCAGCACCATAAGGCATAGGCAGAGAAACGCGCAGCTGCTGTTGCTGTGCACTGGGCACCACGACGCCTGTACCACCAGCACCGCCACCACCAGCGCCACCTATCGGCGGCGAGTATTGACCCGCCGTATTCCAGTTGTCCATCGATTGACTATTTGCTATCAGCATAGGTATATTCAGGCCCATCTGCAATACAAATGCGATCAAGCTTATTAGTATTTGCTGGTTTAATACCTTGGGGAAATAGGTCTAAATTGTTCATATAACTTCGGCCAAGACAAGACTCCAATATCACCCAAGAGTGAATGCTCGATTGAAGGCAGATCAAGAACTACGATCATTATAGCTTTAGCCTTTTTCAGACCAAATTTCCCGCCGCCTCAAGACCTTCCTACTTTAACCTCATGATCTGTAAACTGGATTAATATTAATGAATAATGATGAAACTTGATGTAATTTGTAGCAATTGCTTTTCTTGTGCTAGCTCGCTTAGGCTCATATGTTTACATTTGTTATGAAAGGCGCTTACATTGCCATTTCGAACCTTTGATTGATCCAATCTTAAGTTTGTCTGAGAGAACAAAGCATTAAATTATTGACGATATTTAGTCAATTTGAATAATTCATTCACAATTATTCGGAATGACAAAGTTCAAAGATAAGAATAAGTATGAATGAATGCTGAAATATATAATATATATTCTAGATCTCAATAAAAGAGCAACAACAAAGATAATCAGAACTGGTAATACCCAAAAAGCTGCAAAGGAAATGAATTGTTGCTTACCCATGATGAAACTTTTGATGTTAACTAGCCTAAGACAGCTGACTCTACATAAGGCAAAAGCTTTAAAAATACTATAAAAGACGTACTTTGTAAGCCAATTGTTTCTTTAGGTATAAGAAAATAAAATTCTAGAAAAAAAACTCGAGTTGCGTGGACCTAAGGATATAGGAACATGTACTTCATATGTATATATACGTATATGGGCATACATATATATTAACATATGTACATCACACTGAAATGCCACCTCACAACGTCCATGTGGATATTTTTGTTGCCTTTTTTGAGAATTGCTAGCATTAAAACAGTCAATTGTTGTGCTTAAGCAAATTAAGTACAGTTTTTGTTGTTACAGCTCCAGCAGGTGTAATGCTGCGGTGCGACGATACCATAGGTGGGTTACTTTTATGGTTTTTACTGTTGTAATGCATAGTGCGAATATTAAATTTGTACACATTTGTGGCGATCGAACGGTGCGACGACGACGACAACGCAACTCACATTGTCGAAATATTCTAGCGGCGTAGTAAGTTTTAAAAAGCGACATCATATCGTCACACTCAAACAGAGAGGCAGAGAGACATAGAGACTGAGAGAGAAAGACAGAGCGAGAGAGAGCCGAGAGCAAGCGCCAACGAGAGATACATATGCACTTTGTTGTTGCTATCGCATTATCATATGTGCCTATGTGCATGTGTGTATCTACAGCGAGAGGACGAGATAGAGAGATTGAGAGGAAGAGAGCGCATCTAACGGCTGGAAGTGAAAATAACAGCACAACCTATAAACCCAATGGGAAGAAGAGAAGCGCACAGGAAAGATGAAAAGCTAAGTCAAAAGCAGCAGCAGCAGTAGTAGTAGTGGAAGTTCATTAATATTAACAACCTACCCCACGTTGGTGGGGCGAACGAATGTAGTCATGAGCGATCATTCCGCTCTTATAGTTTATTTCTCACTGTCTATCTCTTTCTCTCTCTCTGTGAGACTTGACGCGTCTTTAGCCCCAGGCGCCTAGAACTTTCTATAAAATTCACAAAAAAAAATACAACTGCCCAACTACTTTATTCGTTGTTTGTGTCGTTGCCGTTTGGCTTTGTTGTTATTTTTATTGCTGCAGCTGTTTTTGGTTGTTGTTTTGTTTACGTATTTAGAGCTATTGTGCATGTGTGCGTGTCTGACTTGTTTTTGCGTGCCTCAACAGACAGAGTCGCCAGCCAAACTAAATTAACTCTCTCACTCTATTTATATACATACAAATGTGTGCATATGAGTATGTTTGTGTGCTGTTAGTTCATGTGTGTATGTAAAAATTTGCTCTCCATGCATGTGTGGTCGAGTGAAACTGAAAAATGTAAACAAACTGATTATCAGCAATCCAGCGAATAAATATAAATAACACAATGCTAGCCAACAACTCCAAATACAAGCCGTATTGTCTAATCCTTCTGTAACCCCTCTTTCATCATCTCTTCTTTCAGCGACTCTCGCTCTGATTGGTCACGCAAATGTTTGAAAACTATGGTACGACATTTTTGCACATAACACACAAGCACACACACACTCACGCGCGCACACTCACATTCAACTGTTACAGTTACATTTACAGAGCTGCGCCAGTTGCCAAAATGTGAGCGATCATCGCTTAGTCGTGATTTTATCTTTTATCTATTTCCTATTGGGTACTAAGTGTCTTACTGTGATTCCCACTCAGCATGTGCACGTGTATGTAAATGTACATATGTATTTGAACATTCTTTTATATGTATAGAAGAGCTTAGATAGATAATATGATAACAGATTAATTATAATAACAGATTTTGAATTCTACAATTCGAACCCGTTATCTTTGCTAAATCAGCACAATCTCTCGCCACATCTGTCTAATAAATAATATTTATATTCGCGTGTTTTAGGTTTAGAAAAAACTCACCCTGTAAGCTATTGCAACAAAATAGACCAAATTCTTGCAAAACTTTCACAAAAACAAAACTCCATCTAACCTTTTTTTATGTGGACCTTTACCCCACCGCTGGAGCTGTTGTTGTTGTTTTTTCAGCCAAGCTGGCAACGCTGCGCGCATAGCTAAGCAACTTCGCAATGAATGAGTAAACAAAAGCAAACGCTGGCGTCGCAGTTGCAGCCTGCTGCGCTGCTTCGTTGCCTGGTTGGGTCGGTGCTTTCGGTTGCATTGCTTACTGCTACTTTGACTACTGCTGCTTATTTGCGTTTGCACTTCTCGGCCCCGCCTCGCTTCGTGCCGCTCTGCTCTGCTCAGCTCTGCAGGGGGCCCGCGCACCAGGCGCTTTATAAAAGCGCATGCGAGAGAAAACAAAACACGCAAATTACAAACACACAGCAGCGACTACAACAGTTGCTACTGCTCCAACTACCAAAACAATAGGAAACAGGCGTGCATTTTATAAACACAAACAAACTGAAAGGGGATTAGGGACAGGGATACGAACGACTATATACGAGTGTGAGCACGGGCTGTGTAACGGTATCAAAATGCAGTCTACGCGTGAGGCGGCGATGCCGCCCCAAGTCGACGTCTACTTCGACGTCAACAGCGCTGCCGCATGGTATAACCACAACATTGCGGGACGCGATTGCCAGCAGCAAAAACAACAAGACAGACATATTGTTGTTATTTGGTGTCTTGGAGAAAATTCCACAACAAAACAGTTGTAAAATATGAGCAAAATATATACATACACGGATATGGATGTAGTTGCATGCGTACATACTTATGTATGTATGTATGCTTTTACTCAGGTATAAACAGTATAAGACTAAGTGTGGAAAGGGTGGGCGTACGCGTGGGCGTCAGCACTGCTGTACGCCAAAATAATGACGAATAACAAAAACAACTCGGCCATGAGAAAAACAGTAAAAAGTGCAAGCAAGCACTGTGTGTGTGTTTGTGTGGCGAAATGCGAGGGTTGGACAAAGAATAGATTTTTATGTTGCGCTGGAAAAATATCAAAATATATGCAATTTGAAAATACAATAAAAATAAATAGAATATCGAGAATATTGTAGAATTACCTAGTTGAAGCGAGAATATTCAATTCTTACTACATACGGAAATTGTATTTTTTTTAGAAACAACAGCAGAGCAAATGAAAACAGGAGCAACTAAAACAATACTGCTGCTTGGCATTTTGTTTTGATAACTCTGACACACAGCAAAAACAACAACATAAAACAAATGAAAACCACAGGCGCAAGTAAAAATAAAAACAAAAGCACACAAGGAAAACGAACAGCAAACGAATCACAATCAACACACACACTCACACACGCACATGTGCATGCATACATATACACGATGTGTTTTATTTACATATATATACACATGCATGCATACACACACACACGTACGTGCATGAGAGGGACACAAGACAGGCCACGGGGCAACCACAAACCAAAACATCACAACAACGACAACGACGACGTCGGTGTCGACGACGGCAAGTGCTACGCGCATTTTGCCGTGCAAAACAAACATTTCATCAGACAAAAACAGAGCATGTGAGCGACAACGGCGACGAAATGTCAGCAGCGCTCGTTCCCCTCATCGGTAACGAAAGCTTGCTGCTGCTTGCTTGGCGCGACAAAGCAAATACATAAAAACAGCTCACGCACACACTGAACATTATTTAAATACGCACACATATGCATATGCACAGATTCTCTCGTAACTCAGGGCAATACCTCACGCATACAACACCAAATTCCTAAGAAAAATTTATGCGTAAAATTTTAATTCTGTTTTGATCGTCAACAACAAAGCTCACAGACACACTCACACTCAGTCAGAGACAAAATACGATCCGTACAGCGAACGATTGTGAGAGAGAGATAGCCGACGTAAATGCTAGTCGCTCTCTCGCTGTCGGCAGCAGAAACAGCAAGTCACTTGCGCACATGGCGTCTCATTGGACTCTCAGTCTCAGCGTATTCAGCACAGTTAACTTGCGCTTTTGATTGAAATTAACACCCGAATGACAGCGGAGAGTGAGTACACTTGAGCGCGTGTGTGTATGATTGCTGCAAAGCTAATGTAACTTTTAAAATAATATGCTTAACATTTATAACATATAAACATACATACATACATGTATATATAATTAAACATTTTATAAAGGAAATGAAAAACCTACTTTTTATGTTTCATTAATAAAATCATAATCATTATTAGGTTAATACAAAAAAACCATCATCATAAATTTTTTTGCGATAAGAAAGTTCTTTTTTCTTTCTAACAATAATCAATGAAGGCCTACATACATACATACATATGTGTGCACATAGGCTTGATTCACACCCCTTGGTCAGCAATGGGTTATACAATAGGTCCGCTTGGCTAGTCAATGGTCACACGTTCGCTCTCTGCTGTGTTGTTGTTTGTCACTGTGCTTATGCCGATGTCATTGGAACAAATGCTTACGCATTCGGTTATTTTTTGCGTTGATTACTCACCGCTCCGAAATATTTCAGCTCTTTGGTTTTAATGCGTCTGTGCTGTGATGCAGGCATCGTTGCTCCAGTTGCTGTTGTTGTGGCACCAGTTGCACACCCAATCGGGCCCGTGGCTCCACCGTTGGCCGCTGCAGCGATAGTGCTGTTCTCGTAAGCAGCAGCCGCAACCGCTGCAGCGGCCAGCCCATTAAGTCCATTGTGCGCTGTGCTGGCCGACGACGAGCTGCCACTGCCGCCCAGGGCAGCGCTGGCCGGCAATCCGCTCAGGCTACCGCCGCCGGCTTCCATGAAATCGAAGCGCTTGAAGGCATACCACTTGGACGGATTCGGCTGTATGCCCTGATAGATTTTCACAAACATTTTGTGCTTCTCGCGCCGGTACTGTGTTAGCAGCACGTTCATCTTGCGCTCCACCTCAGCCTTGCTGCAGCCGAATCGTTCCGCAATCTCCGACCACGCCCGAAACCGACACAGTTTGTCCTTGTACTTGGGATCAGCTCGATTCCACAGTTCCGTATGGCAGCGATACTGTTCGATTAACTCTAAGGCGTCGTCGTTGGTCCATTCCATGATTTTAGGTGAACTGCCACCGCCACCACCGCCGCCGCCGCTGCTCCTACCACTGCCTGACCCGATACTGATCTCGATCCCGTAACTGGGCGGCAGTGGTATATTGTGATGCTGCAGCTGCTGCTGTTGCTCTGACTGATGGCAAGGATGATGAGAGTTCTGGACGGTTCCAGCTGCTGTCGTTACAAAGCTCTCTGGATTGAAGTTCATTTGCTGTCTCAAGCAAAAGTCACTTAAATTTCTCCCTCTCCCTCTATCTCTCTCTTGAGATTCTCTGCGTATATTCGGTGGGTTCTTTCCCTTGGGTTAATAAGCTTTTCAAGTTTATTTTTCTCAATTCTTTTATTTCTTTGTCGTTCTCTGTTCCGTTTCTCTTGCTCTATTTGCTTATGGAATGCAACGCGAAATGCATTCAATCAACATTTTAATAACGGATTTTTGATCATAAACTCGCAACACTGAAATCGAAGGAGATAAGTTCAATTTAGTAATTTATTTAAATAATTTGTAACTATTTAGTTAAACCAACTTATATAAAATTCTTCTTATAGTTGGGAAAAGTGAAATGGAAAATGTTTACTTTAATTCATTTGTATTTCCTGCTGAAAATTGTTTCCTTCGGAAATCAGTGTGATCAGATCTTAAATTGGAGAGAGATCGATTTTCCACACTTCAAAAAACAATCATAAACTAGCTTTCCTTGTCGGGGATTTCCCCATTAAATTCTTACGGATGTTCTTAAACTTCAAGTAAACGCAGTAAGAATTCTTTAATAGGGTATACCTGACTAGCAGATACGTATATTGAACTGACCTCAGAGCTGTTACTCCAATCATTCGAAGCTTTACGTATATAATCATGAAACGAAACTTAAAAACCAAGTTTTAAAATCAATTTCTATCGATAATACCCAGTTGAGTTTAGCTTTCAAATTTTAAAACTCTAGTGCTTATGGTACACAATATAGCTCTAAACTTATACGAACGGATGGATATGTATTTATGCATATACTCCTCCCCATTCTTTTATGTATATACTCCGCCTCCTTCTGCCTGCCTGCCAATTATACAAAATCAATATACCCTTCGACACTTTGTAAACAGGGTATCAAATATGGTTTAGTAAGTATATTCAATAGATTAGCGCAATCTATTTACGGGATATGCTTTATTTGTTTAAAACTGCATTATTTGCTAAGCAATAATAGACTAGATAAGCGGAAATGAATTAGCCAAAGACACGAGCTGGCGTGCAATTCTGATCATAATTCACACTTGATTTCTTTGTTAATTTCCATTGTACGTATGTACATGTGGTACATATGTTTCTATAATTAATTGCTTATTTAGCGAAGAGAGAAAAATAATCATTTCAAGTATCTTGCAGTTGTTTTTCCTGGCCATCGATTAACATTTTCGAAAGAAATTCTCGGCGACGAGGAAAACGTTTGCGCGAAATGTCACAAGTCAGAGCGAAAATAAAAACATCGATAACAGTCCAGTTATTCACAATAGACGGAAGCTTTTTTTGCACAGAAAAACACACAAACACAGACACACACGCACCCGCGCGCCCTCACTCACACACACATACACGCATACATAATTGAGCAGGGACACGTGCGCTTTCGTTCGTTTCAACTGCGCGACGGACTATGTGCACACGCACGCACACAAACACTCAGTCAGCCATGTAAGTGTGTGTGTGAGTGAGCGACATCTCGATTTGACATCTATCTTTGTCGCCCGATTTGCTTCCTGGTAAGTTGTTCATTCGTTCGTTCGTTCGCCCGCTCGTTTGCTTTGGTGTCGCGACGACAATTTGCTTGATAATTTAGCTTAGCACGCATTGCATTTAATACAAATGTTTTTTTAGTACACGTATTATTGCGTTGCTCAGAACTTTTTGCGCAGAGCGCAAATTCTGCCGTTTCTGCTGCTGCGCAAACAGCTGAATGAATCATAACGGTAAGCACACACACACACACACACACATGTATTTAACGGAGAAAAACAATAGCCAGTGTAGGTGCAAGCAGAGTATTTTTTTTGTATTTTATTGAGCTGGCTTTTAAATGTAATTTTCCTTTTTTTTATTTTTTCTTCTTGACTTGAATTCAATTTAGCTGATTCAGCGCTTCGCTTATTTATTTATTGTTGTAACTTTTTTAACTTTAGCGCTTTTTAGGCCATTTCTTTTTTGGCTTATTGATTCACTTAACCTTGTTTGAAGAAACTGTTTTTGTTTTCTTCTTAACTTATTTTCAGTTTCTTTCTGAAAATAGCATAGTTTTAAGGGACTTGCTGAGTATTCACTTCCATTTGGCATGGGGTTTTTCACATATTCATTTACGTGTTTCAATTTGTATTTTTTGTTTTTTTTTTTCCGCGGATTTCATAGGAAATTAAATGGTGTTTGGGGTTTTTTTTAATACGAGAAGCTTTTTATGACAGCTTAGATTTGGTTGGTTTTTCACACTTTATATAAACTTGGTGCTATTATTTTTATAAAAATCTGTAAAAATTTTATATTTAATCTTGATTAACCAGATATATATTTTTTTAATTTTATTTCATTTCACGATGTTTTTGTTTTTATGATTCATCGTTAATTAATTATTTAAATATATTAATTATTGAAAAACCTAACATTTACAGGCAAATTCACACTTTTGGCCTCTGACAATATCGAAAATAACAATAAAAAAAGAACAACAACAACTCAAACATCGCAAAAAGTAAACAACATAAAAATCGGATCAAAAACTTAAAAATAAATTTCAAGGCACGTAAAAAACGAACTGCAAACACTCACATACACATTCGCAAACGAACGCACGCACACGCACAAATGGCAAGCGAGATAGTAAATAAAAATAATATTAAATTATATACATATGTGTGTACGTGTGTGCGTTTGTCAGAAACACTTAGCGTATTTTGCGTATTTTGTATTTTACATTTTAGAATGTGTTGTAATTTGGCATTCCATTTTAGAAACTATATCAAAGCCGTTTCTTTATGCGCATATTTGTTTTTCCTTTATTTGTTCAGCAAACACACAATAATAACTACACCAACAACAGAGCGCTGCTGTTAATGGCACGTCGCCTCGCCCCGCACTCTCACTCGGACTCGCACTCGCACTTGCTATTCAGAAGCAAGCGCGATGTTACCGTTACCGCTAGTTTCATCTGCGCGCCCAAACCTTACTCTCTCTCTTTGTGATACAAGCGCTCGCGAACCACACCAGCTAACGTCTGAATCTAAACTGTGCGTCGCTTTTTCCTGACAAACACTGACAAACTTATCGAAATCGATTTGTAACGAACCTACAAATGCGACGACTGCGACGCGTCGCTGGCTGGGCTGCGTATTGAAATGAAATTTCTCGGTGGACGTTTGAATGAAACAAGCACAACGTACGCACACACGAACACACACTTACAAATACTTGGACGTGTATGTTTGTGTGTGAGTACAAATGTATGCACAGAGAACAGACAGCGCCACCACTGCGCTGTTGACGTCTGCAGCGGCAGAGCCGCCACGTTCGGTAAACAGTTGTTTCGTGGAAAAACAAGCCGAACATCATAATGAAGTTGCTGTTGTGAAATTGTACGGTGCTTTGTCATGCTTAAAAAACAACAGCAACAGAGTACGCGCCAAAACACAAAAACGAGGGCTGCTTTATATGTAAGTAAGTGTTATAAAATCAAGAGTAATCATGACATGCGCAAATATATATAACACGACAACAATACCAGCAAACATATATAAAAATATCTATTTTATAATGATAATAAAATAATTCGTAAATAAATATATTTTTTTGTATCGTTTATCCGCTTATATTTGGCATTGTAATATATACTTAAGCACAAGAAAAAAGTTTCAAAAGCGCATTTAACAGCCCTCGCACGAACGCTAGTTGCTTCTTGGCACCAACACATGCGCAACGAGTCAAACAAACAAATAGAATGCGAAGCAGAAATGGCAAAAAATTAAACAAACAAGTAGACAGGAGCGGTTCAGGTTTGGATCCAGTCGATGGAGCAGCGGGTGGCGGCTGTCGCGAGGCCGAGTTGAACGAACGAGGGCAGAAAATAACACTAACAATAAATACACATCTAAAAATTTCTACTACGGCGTAGTAAAATTTCTAAATGCTGATAGAATTTTGCCTCAATCTGCCATTGCTTAGCTATGTATATATGTATTTGTTTAATTTTGTTTGCTCGTTAGTTAAGTTAGACGGAGGGGAGTGAGAGGTATGGGCTGCTCGGATGTGTGGTTGCCTGTGCCAGGCAGGTGCTGTGCTACTCTTGCTCTATCGCATTCAGTTGCTCTTTCACTCGAACTCACACTCACCGCAGCCCGTTCGCTGCATGTTTGTTTGTTTATCGTGCCGTGTTTTATTGTCGGCGTTGTTGTTGCTTGGTGCGTAGTTTTTACGTTCGTCATCGTTGGTTTGGTATTTCCGTCTTCTGCTCGCACTGGCGCTGACGCTGACGCTGACGTTTACTTATGTATGTTCATGTGTGTGTGTGTGTTTATATGTGTGTCATACATATGTCTCATTGTATATCGATAGATGTACATCAATATGTATGAATACATACTTAAACATACTTAAAGCATAAAAATGACCAAACACACACACATGTATGCTTAAATACACACAAATATAGTACAATATGCATCCATATAAACACACATGTATGTAAATAAGTATGTGTGTACACTTGTTCGCCTTGAGTGTCGCCGTCAGAGTATTTTGCAGTGTTATTCTGCAAATAAAATGTCTTTGTATGCACATATACGCACATATGTACACACTCAGACACACACACACACATGCATGCACACATATGTTGTATAAATTGCTATTGCTTGCGTTAGTCGCGGTAGCAGCGGCAGCTGTTTTGTTTTTGTAGTCGCCAGCGCTGCTTTTGCTGCTGCTGCTGCTCAGTCATCGCCGTTTCCAAAGTGCATTGCGTTTTCGCTCTTTTGCGTGGGAGCCATAAAAGCTACTGTTCTTCATGGCTTAATGCTGGCTCTCCCTCTGTCCCGCTCTCCCTCCCACTCTCTCTCTCTCTCTGTCTCTCTCGCGTGCGCAGGTCTCACGTGCGGCTAGCCAACACCCCATACAACGGTACATCATTCTGTTTCTTACGTAGTGGAATTCGCATTTGATGAAATTTATTTAATCTGTTTAACAATCGAGTGCCAAAAATCTTATTTACTGACTTATTTTACTTAATTTAAGATGAGGGAATATTCCCAAAATTTTGCTCGATCAAATATTAGAAAAAAAAAAAAAAAATATATATATATATATATATATATATATATATATATATACATATATATAATATACATATTATATACATATATTGTATATATATTATATGGAAATTAGACATACATACAAAATAAATAAAGTTTAAAAATAAACT